ACACCACAAAGTCTAACTCTATTTCTGATTATCTATTTTTTATTTTGCTCTTCAAATTGTATTTTGGGTTTCTCATATAAGAGAAACCAGATGATATTTAACTTTCTGTGTTATTTCATTTATTATTGTGTTCCTAAAACCCATCCATTTCCCTACAAATGAGCCAAATTTTTTCTTATTTAGGACTGTAAAGTACTCTACTGTGTGTATACACCCCCTATTCTTTATCCTTGCTAGCATTTTTTTTTTGAGTCCTTGATAATAGTGGTTCTTACTGGACTAAGATAGAATCTCAGTGTTTTGACTTGCATTTCTCTAATGGCCAAAGACAGTTCTGCTGAGAAGTGTCTGCTTGTTTCACTTGCCCTTTCTTTGGGGTGGGGGTGGGGGTACCAGGAATTGAACTTAGGACCTTGTGCGTGCCAGGCAGGCATTGTGCCACTGAGCTATATCCCTGGCCCTTACTTGCTCAGTTTTTGATTGGGTCTTTTAATTTGAGGAGTTCTATCTTAAAATTTTGAGTTCTTTATATATTCTGTATATTAGTCTTCTGTCTGAGGGGTAGCCCACAGAAAATTTTTCCCATCTACAGGTTGTTGCTTTGCTCAGTTTGCTGTTTCCTTTGCTGTACAGAGGTTTTTAATTTGATACAACCCCATTTGTTGGTTCTTGGTATTACTTCTTGTGCAGTTGGGGTTCTGTTTAGGAAGCCCTTGCTTCTACCTACTGTCTTCAGTTTTACCTATTTTTATTTTCCAGCAATTCACTGTTTTTATTTTTATAACTAGGTCTTTGATTCATTTTGGTTTTACTTTAGTATGAGGTGAGAGATATGGGTCTAGTTTCATTCTTCTGTACGCCAATAACCAATTTTCCCAGAACCATAGGTTAGAGAAGCTATCTTTTCTCCAGCTTGTGTTTTTGGTGCCTTGTCAAAGATTAAATGCCCAAAGGTGCCTGTGGTTATTTCTTCACCTCAATTCTATTCCATTGATCAATATGTATGCTTTGCTTTGCCTGTGTCATTTTGCTGTTTTTATTATTGTAGCTTTGTAGCATAACTTGAAATTCATGATTTAATGCCTTTTCCTTTGCTGTTGTTGCTCAGGATTACTTTGATCTTTCTGGATCTCTTCTGGTTCTATGTAAATTTCAGGATTGTTTTTCCTAGTTCTTGAAGAATGCTGTTAGTACTTCAACTGGAATTGCATTAAATATATATTTCATTTTTGGTAATATGGCTAAAATGTTGGTTCTTAAATTGGTCTCTGGTACCAGAACTTTACTCCTGGCTAACTATGCCAAAATGTTGTTCAGTAGCTCCTTCTAAAAGTGGCTTGCCAAATAAATGTTACCAGGTCTTGAGTTTCTCTTCTTTCCTTCTGGAGTTGGATTCCTGGTTCTTCTCATCTTGAACAAAGGAATGAATAAAATGAGCAAAAAACAGTAAAAACAATGAGTGAGGGAGAAACTGGCTCTGCAGAGTGAGCTTGGGCTGAGTAAAAGAGGAAAAACAAGAAAAATTACACCCTAGAGGATGTAGGGTTGGATATCATGAGGAAAGCCATAATAGCTTAATAATTTATTTTAAAATTGACATAAAAATATAAATGACAATTTCTTTTAAAACTAAAACTTGCTATCATATGACTCAGCAGTCACATTCTTCAACATTTATCCCTGAGAAACAGAAACTTCTTTTCATGCAGAAATTGTTCACCAATATTCATAGCAACTTTCCTTGTGATAGCCTCAAACTGTAAGTTACCCCAAAGCTTTTCGATATGCAAGTCATTAAATAACTGATACACCCATAACATGGGATACCATTAAGCAATAACAAAAACTATTGATATAACTAAAATGAATGGATCTCATAGGAATCATTATGAGTGAATGAAAAGCCAATCAAGAAAGTTACATTTCTTTGATTCCACTATAAATCTTATTGAAACAACACCATTACAGAAATGGAGAATTGCTTAGTGGTTGACAGGGGTTAGGAAGAGTAGGGAGAGTAGATGAGTATGACCTTATAGATGGGTTACAAGGAAGCCTTTTGGTGATGGATTAGTACTAATACATTAATGGCAGTGGTAGTTACATTGATCTACATACAGAAAAATTATGTAGAATTACACACACATGAATGCATGTAAAACTAGTGAAATTCAAATAAACTTAGTAGGTTGTACCAATTTTACTAGTTTTTATAGGAAGACTGTTACCCATGACAATCTTTACCAGTTTTATTATTGCTTAAAATTTTTTTTTGCAGTGGGAGTCTCTCTACACTGCCCAGGTTGTCATCAGGTAGCTTAGGCTGATTTCAAACTCATGGTCCTTCTGTCTCAGCCTGCTAAGTGCTAGGATTACATGCATCCATCACTACGCACAGTTTAAGGTTTTTTACAGTTAGTTACCTACAAAAGGAAATGTGAATTTCAGGATTGTTTTTCCTAGTTTTTGAAGAATGCTGTCAGTACAGCATAGGAAGTCCTATGCACCTTTCACCCAAAGTTAATATTGTATATAATTAAAGTATAATATAAGAAATGAAGCTATAATGCAAAGCTTATTCAGATTTCAGCAATTATATGAATTCATTTTGTGTGAATCTCAGTTTTATTCCGTATATAGTTTCATGCAAACACCACTACAATCAAGAAAATAACTGTGCCATCACTGCAAGATTCCCTCTGTTGAGAAAGAGGTATCAGAAGCCATAGCTCCTGAGTTTAAACTACTGGCAGACAGCGGGGAGAAGCAAGGCTTCCGTGCCACTGCAGTGGGCATTTGGGTCTGCTTTTAGGTGACTCAGTTGTGGAGTGAAGATTTGGGCTCATCATAGGTGTCTGTTGGGATTCTTTCTTGTCCCATGGTCAGAGCAAGCTGTGTGTGTGTGTGCGCGCACGCACATCTATGTTTTTTGGTAGTTTAAGTTGCAGGCCTCTCTGTCACTAAGTTCTTGGTATGGGGAAATTCCAGTAAACACAGAGAATTCATCACATGTCATTACTCAAGTCTTGCAGTCCCTAGTCATTCTGACTTATTTTTCCCAGCTTCCAGACTTTTTTATTATCTATCTAATTATCCTCAAGGTATTGAGCTGTATGAGAAAGGGAGGAATAGCAACAAATAAGCCCGCACTATCTTGTTATGGAACTAGAGATTCTGTCATTGATTTCTGGGGAGAGGATTTGCTGAGCTTCTCATCACACTACTTTGGAAGTTCTAGCCAAAGTCAGTTTAATTACATATTTTTCAATAAAAGTGCATTGATTATATAGTTATATCCTCTTTACAGGTTTCTGAACACAGTCCAAATACTCTTGATTATGCCCATGAATTTTTCATTGTTCTTTCAACATTTGCATTTTTAAGAAGGGTAAATCACTATGTCATACATTCCTGTAATCATCTTTATTGTATTCCTAATCTTTTCTTGAGGTTCACTTTTATTCTCATTGAAATAATTCTCCAAGGGTTTTTTTTTTTTAATGAGTCTGTTTGGGAAAGTAAACTCTGAGTCTTTCTATGTCTTCTATGTCTTTCATTAGCCCTCATGTTGAAAGATAGTATGAACAGGTATAAAGTTTCTAGATAGAGGAATAAATCCAGTTACTACCTCGATGTTAGTGCATGGTCGTCTGATGACACTGGAAGTTTTGAGTCATTTGGACAATTCTACTTCTGTGGATAAGATTTTGTGTTCTGGTGTCACAAAGTCAGTTATCTGAATGTCAGCTGTTGTGTATTCTAGGGTGTCTTGGGTAAGTTACTGATCTTTTGTTTTCATCTCATTTTATTTTATTTTTTATTAGTACATATTTGCCATACATAATGATCATATTTATCATAGGGGATTTATACCTGTACATGATGTGTCTTAATTCTTTTTTCCTATTCCCCCCTCCTCCCTTCAACCCTTCTTCCCCCTCTCAATTTGCAAAAACTATGTTTCCATTTCTTTCCTTTAGTTCTTTTTTCTTTAAATCCATTTTCTTTTCTTTCCCTACCCTCTCCCCATCTCTTGTCCCATATGAACATGTTCTTCCTACTTCATGATATCTATCCTAAGTTTTACTCCTTACTTACCCTTTAGGTTTCCCACACAAGGGAAACAATGTGGTATTTAAACTTGTGTGTATGATTTATTTCACTTAACATTATGGTCTCAAGGTGAATCCATTTACCTAAAAAGGACTCCAGTTTATCCTTCTTTACGGAGAAGTAGTACTCTACTGTATATAAATACCACATTATCTTTATCCATTCATTTCTTGATAGGCATATGGGCTATTTTCAAGATGTAGCTAATAAATTCTGCAGCTATAAATATGAGTAAACATATATCATTGTGGTGTGATGCTTTTAACTCTTTGGGGAAGATACCTAGAAGGGTAACAGCTGGTTAAATGGAACCTCTTGTTTTAGTTTTTTGAGCAATCTCCATAAAGTTTTCCGTAGTGGTTGTACCAATTTACACACCCACCAACAATGGGGAAGGGTTCCTTTTCCCCCATAAGTTGACAAGCATTTGTTATTGATCAGTTTCTTGATGATAGCCATTCTCCCTGGAATGAGATGGAATCTCAGTGTTGTTTTAAATTGCATTTGTTGAATGACCAGTATATTTATTTGTTATTTGTAACTCTTCACCTGAGAAGTGTCTATTCATTTCAGACACTCACTTTTGGATTGAGTCTTTAAATTTTGGGGTCTAATTTTTTAAGTTTCTTTATATAGTCTAGATGTTTAGCCCTTTGTCTCAGGAGTAGCTGGTAAAAATGTTTTCCCATTCTGTGGGTTATATCTTCACTTGGTTTCTTTCACTTTGAAAAAACTTTTTAAATTTGAGGATCTTTTGTTTTCTTATCAATGAAATGGGAAAGATCATGAGAAGTAAAGATTACAGAGTAGCTTATAGATATTCTACATGTCACATGCTTTATATTTGTTTCATTTTACACAGTCACTAATATTTTTGTTTTTTACAGATGATAGAGCTAAGACCCCAAGCAATTAAATGACTTCAGAATAGCCACATGAATCATCTGAATAGGAGCTGACCTACAAACCTGGGTGCCTAGCCTATGCTCTGTCCATGTAGTGCAAGATCACATTTCATGTAGGGTCATTTTGATACTTAAATGAGACAATCATCTAAAGTGTTAATAAACTGTAATGTCTGATTTATACTGAAATGTATTGTCCATGTGTTCTCTTGCTGTGCATATGACCCCACTTTGTAGGCTTCAGGTGTGACCCAACCAGCCCCTTAAAATTTTCCCACCTCCTTAAACCATCTTTATTCACTGTCATTTTCCTAGCCACTCACCTTCTCACTTGTATTTCTCCCCTCCTTTGTCAGCTTCATTAAACCCAATGTAGTGTCCTTCTCTAGGGCAATAATAAACACAGGGTAGAGTTTCAATAGCTACAGAACAAAGAAGACAGGAAGGGGTTTGATATCTGAGTGGGAGCTAAATTCTGAAAGATAGGGAGATGTAATCAGAGTGTCTGAGATAAGATGTGCCACCAACACGAGGACAGAGGACCCTGTGAAAACAGTGGCAGAAGAAGGGGGGATCATTCTAGGAGGGATGGGGACAGAGATAAGGGAGAAACCTAGAGTTAGGTATGCAGAAAATGATCCCATTGTACATACTCCCCCATAATCCTCTTCATGGGTATGGAGAAGGCACAGGGGTCCTAGAGCAGGCCATCTTAGCCTAGTGTCACTCTGAAAGGAATAAAATAGTCCTTACTGTTTAGGATTGGAATTTGGCATTTATTTCCTACAGGTGATGCTGGGCTCTGACTGCCAAACTACAGAACCATCAGAGGGAATCTGGAGGGCTGGTGTGGCTAGGACTCCTTCTTCTGCTCCCGGAAGTGGTCAGATAGATACACACAACAGGATGGTCCTCAGCTCAGAGCTCCAGACATGACAGCTGACTCAGGGACACAAGCTTCTACAGTTTGGATTTGAATGTCTCCAAAAGGTCATGTGTTAAATTCTTACTCCACAGGCTGACACTATTGAAAGGTGGTAGAACTTCAAGAGGTGGTCTGTAAGGGAGGCTCTTAGGTCATTGTTGGGTGGGATGATGGACTGTCCAAGGGATTGTGAGACATTGGGCACTTCTTTTTTTCTTCCTTGCCATGAAGTGAGCAGTTTCTTTCCCACATGCTCTCAGCTATTAGTGACCCCTTCCATAGCACAAGGTATTAGGGACCCCTGCAGTGGACCCCAGTGTCTTGCCAGGTGTTATGATACACAGCAAGAGAAAGAAGACAAACAGAATGTGAAGTAATGGAGATCTGGGGTGTCTGGTTGTTCTTGGGGAACAAAAAGCCATGAGGCAGCCAGAACCTTGGTATTTATTGATCACACTCACATTGGGGAAAATGGCAGGTGAATGTACTAGACAAGTGGCTAGGAAGGCAAGGCTTGTAACAGGGAACAAAGCATTCTGGTGAAAAGGGTGTAACAGACAGATTAGGTTATGGTTAATGAGTAACCTGCTGTGTAGCCAATTCTGGGAAGGAGTTTTCTTGTGGAGTCATGCAGGGCTCAGTGGAGATGGTATCTCCTATCTTAGACCCATGATATCTATCTGAGCTCATCTATCTGTGTTCAACAATGGCCACTGGTGACGAACAATGCTAGTCTGACATCAGCCACTTGCTTTTGTAAAGATGTGTACATGGCCTTTGCAAGATTCACTAATTAAGCTGAAAGCCAATTTAGAGAAGTCACCTCTATACAGCCTGTACTGCTTGCAAGTAAGCACAATCACACTTGGGTTTAAGGGAGGACAACATGGTGATCCTCCATACCAGCCACTGTCATTTAGAACCTCCACCAAAGGTCCAAAGCAATGGGAACCTTTTTCTTTATAATTAACCATCTCAGACAGATATCTTCACTAAATTAGTGAAGCTCCAGTTCTAACTTTACACACTCACCACATTCTCCTACATCCAGCCAGAGGGCCAGAGAAAGGCCCAAAAGACACAACTTCTGCTCTTCTCCCTTTTTCTACCTTCTCTTCTACCCAACACTTTCACTCCTAGATACTCTGTACCATCCCATTCCTGAGCAGACTCCTGAGGTCCCAGCCCTCATCCTGGTCCCTCTTCTAAGGCACTCATTTAGTCTCCTAGAGGGAGTGGAACCCTGAATGTGAAAGCTCTTAGGGAGACCATGACACTATCTTGGGTTGGGAGGATGCATACTGAGCCCAGTACTGCTTGCCTTGGGCAGGCACTTCTCTCAAGTGTGTCCAGGCAGCAGGCATCTCCATTTCAGACTAGGTTGGGCTAGCTGTCTGAGGACGATCCTCTGTCCCCCAATGACCCAGACGCAGTTGACACGTGATCTCCTTTCCCTCCCTCCAAAAGTCTCTCTTTTGGTGGTGTGAATAATGGGTTGTGCTTAGGCCTGGCCCACTGGCCTGATGTTGCTCAGAGTTTCTGCTCTGTCTCAGTCACCTTTGTATCTGTGGTGCCCTGAGAACCTTGTATGTGTGGGGTAACTATGGGGCCTCAGTGTAGTCTATAGTCTGGACCCAGGCTGCCAGGGCATGAATGCTTGCCCCAGGACCAATAGCCTTTACCAGGAAGTCTGGAGATCTCTTTATTCTGGGTAGCAGAAGCTCCAGGCTGCAAGGATCTGAAGCTCACTCAGAGAAAGCAAAAGGAAAAGTCTTGCATCAGAGCTAGAGCTGCCTTGATTCAGGGATTTGGGACTCAGCACCTGGTGAGGTGATATTCAAGGCTTCCCATGTCAGGACTGCTTGAAATGCAGGGAATGCCCCTTTTAAGTCCTACTACAGCTCTACCCAATGGGACAAATTTGTCAGGAAGAAGACTGTTGTTTCCATATCTCAGGCTGGGCTTGGAGTCTGTGCTGGTGGTAAAAGTCCACCCTCCTTACTAGATCTAGCCTTCCAAGAACAAAATATTGAGACAGCAGCAGGTGCTATACAGAGCCCTCACTAAAGGATGAGTGACGATTTTTACACCATGGATTGCTACTCAACTTGTGAGTCCTGCATCGGCAAGGTGAGCACAGCCACTATGTACAGTTAAGAACAGTGCTGGGTTTTTGTCATTTCTGCTCTCTACCTGGAAATCACAACACTGATCTATAGAACTACTGTCACATGCAGATCCTCCCCAGCCTTTATAAAAGTCCTCAACAAGATACTGACAAATGGAATACAAGAAAACATCAGAAAGATCACATTGACCAAGTAGGCTTCACCCAGGTATTCAAGGATTTTTACATCGTCATGCATTAGAAAGACGGCTTGTAGCTCCCTTATTTTTCTGGCTGCTTGTCTTCTTTTGGGATCAGGGTAATGCTTCTGCGAGTGATTTTGGGCCAGGCATGGTGGTGCATGCCTGTACTAACAGCACCTGGGAGGCTGAGACAGGAGGATTGCCATGAATTCAAGGCAAGCCTGGGCTACATAAGTGAGTTTAGGCCAGCCTGCACTACATAGCATGAACTTGTCTCAAAACCAACCAACCAACCAACCACGATTTTGGGAGTAATCTTCCTTTTGATATTAAAGAGTTTGAGGAATATTTGTTAGATATTCCTTGAAGTTCTTGTAGAATCTGGCATTGAATCCACGAGCTCCTGAGCTTTTATAGGTTCTTAAAATTGCTGCTTCAATTTTGTTGCCTGTTACTGGGTTATTCAGATACTTAAGTCTTAGTTTAGGTTTGGTAAGTCATATGTAACTAGCAATCACTCAATTGCTTCTGAGTTCTTCAATCTTTTGGCATACAGGTTTGTCAGGTAGTTGCTAACAGACTTCTGGATTTTGGTGGTGTCTGTTTTGATTTCACCTTTTTTTGTTTCTATTATTTAGGTGAATGCATATCCAGAGATTTATCATAAACCTGCTACTACTGGACCTAAAATGGATGTCCTTCCTTGCCCAGTTGTTCCCATAGAAATGCAAGAAAATACACTCATTAAATATACTTCATTTTGTTTTACCTCCATAATATATAATGGATCCTGTCTTACTTTTCTCTTGTTGAGACAAAATATCTGACACCCAAAGTTAAAGGAGGAAAGGTTTATTTAGCTCAGAGTTTGTAGAGGTTTCAGTCCATAATCTGCTGGCTCCAAGGCAGAATGGCACATGGCAGAGGGTCAACAGTTCATGGTGGTGGAAGACAGCAAAAGCAAGCAAGGGAAGGGGGAAGACAAGCCTCTTTCTGCCCCTTTTAATCTTATTAGACTGCTGCGGATTAAGACAGTGGCAATCCAATCAGTGGACTGACCCCAGGAATTACCCACCCTTAATCCCAGCACCCTTAACCATGAATCAGTCACACATTCTAGATTCAGCAACCTCCAAAAAAGCACCATCTAAAAGTGCATGAAGCTTTGGGGGAACATCTAGACACAAACCATAACATGAAGGCTCCACATTGTGCACTGTCCTAATCTCCTCCTCCTGCTCTCCTGTGCACAGTTCATACAGCCCACCTACATCTCTGTGGCTGGTGATCAAAGTCCCACCCTCTAGAATCTGAAGGACAGGAGAAGTGATCTCATATCTAGCTGTGATGAGATGAACAAAGTGACAGACACTATCCAAGAGTATTCCCTGCCCCAGGTTACTTCAAGGGTGCTGAAACAGTCCACCTGGGGATTACAAGAGGAATTTGCTCCTGGCTTTCCAGAGCAGGTACCAGCTTTCTAACTATTTAGAGGGTCTTTTCCGCTTCTTCCTCCTAGAAATAGAGCAATAAGTTTGCTCTAGACTATGTCCCGTGGAAACAACTGACCTCAGACAGGGAGGGCTGCTTTGGGCAGGTCATGCCCCATAGCAGAGGACAGAGTGTGGGATGTCACTCTTGAGCAGTACGTATCTTCCTGGTGATGCTAAGAAATAAAAATTTGCTGCAGGCAAGTTGGGGACATGTTGTAGGGTGTAAAAATTGACACTGTACTCTGCAGTGTACTCCATGAATTACATCAGATAGTTCAAAAATCATATTACACATCTGGTAAGCTATAATATTCACTTATGGATATTTAAAAATGTATTACTCATGTTTTCATGATACCAAAAATTTCTAACAATGCAAGCCCATCAGAAATTAAGCAGTTTTTGTATAAAACATTTGACAAGCTATTTCAATGTAAAAGTTATTTAAAAGTACAGGTCAAGGGAGAAAAACTAGAATTCAGGAACACAACTTGGGCCAGTCAACATGTTTGAAGGCATTTGCCACACACATCAAACATCCAACAGTGGTCCTTATGAATAATGAAAAATGGCATTCTATAAATTTATCTCTAAACTGGGTAAAATAGCACAACCTGAATTATAATTTAGTAAATCCCACTTTTTACAAAGCTGATACGTGTATTAGTCAGGGTTTACTAAAGAAACAGATATAACACAAGATATACAAATATGTAAGAAATTGCAATTTTGGCTTACAGTGGTCAGCCACAGAGCTGGATGAGGAACCATGCAGAGGGTGTCTGCATGCTGCAGCTAAGGCCTGGAGCTCACTGCAGTGTCTGTCCAAGTCTGTATTAGGAGGCTGATGGGTCTGCAACAGAACGCTGAAGAATCTACAATGAAGGCTGAGAAGTTTCAGGTGGAAGCCAAACAATCTGCACCAGAAGCTAGGAGATGACCAAGCTGAAGGCAAAGACTGGAGCTCTTCCAAAGACTCAGTAATAAGTCCTTTTTCTTTCTTTTTTTTTTTTTTTAATTGTATGCAGCCTACTTGCCCTGGGAGCAGTCCTTTACATGCACACCATCCCCAGGCCCTTCTCTTGTATAAGCTCAGGATGAATATAAATTAAGGACCGTGGCTCTCTGCTGAGTCACACAGTTAACCTTTTAAACTTTTTCAGTTGACACAATGAACAACATCCTAGAGTGCTAAAGGAATGTTCTTTTCAGCCCAGAATGTAAAACTGCTGAGTTAGTTAAGCTTGTAGACTCAAGTTGACACAATGTATCAACCACAGCAGTTAGGTTTTCCTTCGTGTCATTATTTCAACTTGTTATGCAAAAATAATAATGATGGCCAGGCATGGTGGTGCACGCCTACAATCCTAGCATGTGGGAAGCTGAGGCAGGAATGCTTAAGTTTGAGGTCAGTTTGGACTACATAGTGAGTTCAATGCTGGCCTGAACTACACAGTAAGAACTACTCAAAAAATATAATTAATGATTACTGAAGAAAGAATGGCATCTTAACACTAGGGAATAAAGGCATTTTTTTTCCAGTAAAATATTGGCCATAACTTAAGTGGTCATCAGTACAAAAGAGTTAAATAAATGATGATACATTCTGTGGAGGAAGAGGACAGGAACATTTCCAAATTTCCAATGTCCCCCGTTGAGGGAGGGAGTGGATGATAAATGTGCACAGGAGAAAGCAGATGAAGTCTCTAGGTTTCTAGAAAAAGCTCACCATGGTTTGAGGTACCAGATACAGATGATTTCCTTCTTAACGTGTGCCAACTCCTATGGACTATATATTGTATGCAAGGTGTTTAGGTATGTTTTACAGAAGATATAAGTAAAGGGTCATCCCTTTCATATCTAGTATATTCTAGGTAGGGTGTACATGATCTTTACGTATAGGAAACAACTAATATTTGCCTCATTACATTGAATAGCAATCACTCTCCCCCAAAACTACTCCAGTGCAGACCAAAATTCCTTTGAAAGTGTTATTGAAAAATTATCATTTATAATTTTGGAGAGATTATTGTAATTTATGATTTCCTCTGGAGACAAGTTATGGTCCTTCTGGTCCGTGGCAATCAGAAACACATGTTCACAAGTCTTTGAAATATATATCTTAAAATATGATGTCAAATTCAAAAATATCATTTATTACACAGAATACAGAGTATACACACCAAAAATTTAAATTGTTAGGACAAAATCCTAACAATTAACAGAAAGCAATTAAAGTTAAATTTTAGTGGCTTATACCTCCCAGTTGTCAAGACTAAATAACTATATAAACATTAACTCTACTTGAAAGTAAAAAATACATTTCAATTCACTCAGCTTAATTAAAAGACACTATGTGTTAAGATCAAAGATACAAACACAAAAATACCTAGTTATGTCAACTCATTATCTTTATATGAAAAACTGGAGAAACACAACTGACACATTTAGGTGATTTACTGAAAAACATAATGTATGTAATGGGATTGTATTTTCTGGACATTTCATGGAGAAATATTGACATCAAGATTTTGTATTAATGATTTCTACAGGTCTCCACTACATGAGAAATTTTCATAAGATTTTACAAATAGGCTTACATACACAGTTTCTCCCCAGTGAGATTCCTTTCATATATTTGATAGTACATGTATGTACCCAAAGCATTCCCACACTGCTTACATACATAGGATTTCTCCTCATTGTGAGTTTTTATGTCTTTGGCAAATACCACGAATGTTGAAAGCTTTCCACACTGCCTATATATATAGAATTAATGCCAAACCCGAGTCCTTTCACATTTTTTTACAACAATGCTTCCCCACACTGCTTACATACATAGGTTTTCTCCCCAGTGTGAATTCTCTCCTGTATTTTACAATTACTGTGTGTGCTGAAAGCTTTCCCACACTGCTTACATACACAGTTTCTCCTCTGTGTGATTTCCTTCATGTACTTTACAATAACCTTGTGTACTAAAAACTTTCCCACATTGCTTACATACATAGGGTTTGGGTTTCTCCCTGGTGTGACTTCATGTGTTTGAAAAGTACTCTTTCTCATCATACTGCTTACGAACATAGGGTTTTCCCCCAGTGTGAGTTCTTTCATGTTGTTTACAATGATGACTCCTACTGAAAGCTTTCCCACACTGTTTACATACATAGGGTTTTCCTCCACTATGAAGTATTTCATGTCTTTTACAATCACCTTGTGTACTAAAAGCCTTCCCACATTCCTTACATACATAGGGTTTCTCCCCAGTGTGAATTCTTTCATGTATTTTACAACCACCTGGTGTACTAAAAGCCTTCCCACACTGCTTACAAACATAGGGTTTCTCCCCAGTGTGAATTCTTTTGTGTATTTTACAACCACTGCTTGTGCTGAAAGCTTTCCCACACTGCTTACATACATAAGGTTTCTCCCCAGTGTGAATTCTTTCATGCATTATACAATTACCTTGTGTGCTGAAAGCTTTCCCACACTGCTTACATATATAGGGTTTCTCCCCATTGTGAGTTCTTTCATGTTTTTGATGATCACCATGTGTGCTGAAAGCTTTCCCACATTGATGACATACATAGGGTTTGGGTTTCTCCCAGGTGTGACTTCGTTCATGTGCTTGACAGTTATAGGATCTGCTGAAAGCTTTCCCACATTGCTTACATACATAGGGTTTCTTCCCAGTGTGAGTTCTTTCATGTTGTTTACAATGTTCACGCCTACCAAAAGCTTTCCCACATTGCCTACATACATAGGGTTTCTCCCCACTATGAATTCTTTCATGTATTTGACAATTACTATGTGTGCTGAAAGCTTTCCCACATTGCTTACACACATAGGGTTTCTCCCCAGTATGAGTTCTTTCATGTTTTCGACAATTACCATGTAAGCTAAAAGCTTTCCCACACTGCTTACATACATAGGGTTTCTCCCCAGTGTGATTTCTTTCATGTTGTTTATAATGTTGATGCCTACTAAAAGTTTTCCCACATTGCTTACATATGTAGGGTTTCCCTCCATTGTGATTTCTTTCAGGGTTCTGAACATCATTGCAAGTGCTGGAGGACTTCAAATTTTTCTTACATACAAAGGTCTCTTTAAGGGGAGTTCTTTCACTAAGTTCAGAGTATTTCACAGATTTCACATACTGACCATATTTATAGGGTTTCTCTCCAATCTTTTTCCTTGCATCCTTTTGAAAGGAGTGGAAATTACCACAGGTTTTTCCATGTTCATTACAATTATGCAGCTTCTCTTCTGATCCCAAATACTCAGATGTCTTCAGTCCAGTGTCAGCTATGAACACATTTAGTGACAAGGGCCCAATTAGGGGTTTCCTGCAAGCAAGGCCTTCAGCTGGTTTTAGACCAGTTTGTTTCATGTCCACTTTAGCATATGGTGCCCAAAGGATTATTTCTTCATGTGGATTCTGAATTTTATTTGGGTAGCATTTCTCTACCTCTTCATTTCTGTAAAAAACAATGACAACAGCAAAAATAGTTGCAATAAAATGAGTCTCCATAGTAATGACTTACTGCAAGTTCTGTGTGATGCCTCCTAAGAAATTCTGACAATGAATGAACTGAAAGCCCTGAACAGCCATTCCCAAGAGTGATATGCATTTGGGGATTTTTAAAGTGGTATATTTTGGAATACAAACAGGTCAGTTGTATTTTGGCAAACTGGTACACATATATAGTAGGTTGATCATGTTGATACCTTTTCTATCATCATTCTCCCTCTTCTCCCCCTACCCTCTTTGCCTTCCCCATCTCCAGAAAGTTAGCCTTTCCTTTTTAAGTGCCTCATCTTTTTTTTTTTTTTTTTGGCCTCTTTGTCTTACTCTCTATATTTTCAGTTTCTCATATAACAGAGATGTTTCATTTTCTATGCCTGATTTATTTCATTTAACACTATCAGATGAAGATCACCAATTTCTATTGGCAAATGACATGGCATAATTCGTTTTTATAGCTGACTATATAGCACATTTTTCTTTTTCTTTTCCTTTTTAGTACTGGGAGTTAAACACTGGTCTTAGCACTGAATTACATCACCAGGTTTTTTTTCTTAATTTAGAAGAGATTCTCAGTAATGATATGCTCAGGCTGAGCTTCTATCTGACATCCTGCTGAATTAGCTTCCCAGAGTGCTGGGAATGAACCATCACACTGAGCCTATCAAAAATTGTCTTTATCCATTCATCCAGTGAGGGACATCTAGGTTGATTCCAGGACTTAGCTGTTATAATTTGTCCTGCTTTGAGTATGCATAAGCATGTATCAGTATAGTATGATAATTTTAACTCTTTTGGAACTATACCCAAGAGTGGCATTCCTGAATCAAATGGAATTTGTGTTTGGACTTTTTGAGGTGTCTATGCACTGATTATCATGCTATATTTAACATTCCCATCAACAATGTTAGAAGGTGCCCACCAGCAATAATGGACGGTGCCCTCTAAGAAATTTAAACAATGAATGGACTCAATTCTCTGGAGGATGGCTTGAAAGCATTTGGTATTATAACACTAGCATTCATTTGTGCTTTGAATACTGCTTCAAGGTTAGCAATTTTGTTTGTTTTTTGAAACAGGGTATCACTATGTAGATCAGGCTGGCCCTGCCTGTACTCACTATGTGACCCAGGCTACCCTCGAACTCATGGCAAATCCTCCTGCCTTAGCCTCCCAAGTGCTGGAATCACAGGCATACACTACCATACCCAGCCTAAGGTTAGCAATTTTTTAGATAGTAAATGTCTCATATCCACATGTATACACAGATATCCTAAAGATGGGTTTCTGTCAAAACTTAAAATTCATTTCTTTTCATATATACCTATATATAACATCTAAATGCAATTTCATATATTTTCATGAAGGTGATCATGAAAGAACATTTCTTATACGTCAGTGTGTCACTTGTTGCATATCAGTAGTTTCTTGTATTGGAGTATTTCTCTATTTAGTTATCAGATTATACATACTGAAACTATACACAGCTTTGGAGAATATTTGTAAGATTAAATAAATTTGAGGGCTTGGGGATGCGGCTCAGCAGTTGCGCTCTTGCCTTGCATGCACAAGGCCCTGGGTTCTATCCCCAGCACCACATACATACATACATACATACATACATACGTATCAACATAAGAACATGGCCACATTTTCCCTGGTTGTAGTATTTCTGTTCACATACTGACTTGAGGAACATTCCCATTCCTTTTGAGTGCAAATTACCTTAGATTTCTCCAGTAATTTTTGTACTGTTCTTCAACTTCCTGGTTACCCCAGGCTCTCCCTGAATTGCAGACATAGAAATGTAAGAAGATACTATATTATTACACAAAAATGAATAGGTTCCAGTTAGATTCATGGTGTAATGTAAGTAGGGCTGAAATATTCTTCAAAATGTTTTCATATTCTATATAATGAAACTGCATGATGAGCAACAATGTTTTCTGACTGTATACATGAGAAAGTAAGGTCATCCTTACCTATGGCAGCCATGTTCCTAAAAGTTTCCTTCATCACATCTCTGTAGAGCTTCTTTTGTGATGGATTCAGCAAAGCCCACTCCTCCATGGTGAAGTGCACAGCCACATCCTGAAAGGTCACTGCCTCCTAAGTGATCACACACATATTTCTTGAAGGAAGGTTAAGACTTACAGGCTGGGATGTCTCAATTCTTCTCATAAAATTGAACTGAGAGCCAGGTGTGGTGGTGGGTGTCTGTAATCCCAGCACTCAGGAGGCTGAGGCCAGCAGGACTGGCATGAGTTTGAGACTAGTAGGGCTACACAGTGAGGTAAAGGCCAGCCTGAACTGCATAGTGAGGCCCTGTCTCAAAAAAAGAAAACAAACCAATAAAGCTGAATATTTAAATATTAACTCCATGTCTTGGTCATCAAATCCATGTGTATGCACATATTTTGCAGGCAGCAATTCTGATGCTAGATTGCCACTCATTACAATAGCAAAAGTAGAATAGGAGCACTGCAAGGGTGCTGTGTCATTGCGAGGGTACTTGTGCAGTGTCTCTAAAGCAGAGCTCACAGAGGGGGAGACTACAAAATCCCCATTCACAAAACACTGAAGCAGGTGAATATCTAGTGAATGGTTTTGATAGACAATAGGTAAATGTCTTTTCAAATATTATTATTTGTGGCACTGAGTCTTTGTACTTAGCAGTTTGAAATTTGAATTTGGTTTCATAAAAAATAATTGAACATCAAATAAGGCTTATGAATAATAAAATGTTAATGGAAAAAGGTTAATTGGAACAAGTCTACGAACACTGAAAATAGGAAAAGGGTGGCATTTTATCTTATAGCTCAGTGTCACCAAATGGTCACCTTGTATTCAAATATAAGAAATTCTAGGGGGTATGGGAAATAAATTGGGGGAAAGAGATGGATGAATTATATTAAACTCACTGAAAACCAATATATCACAAAGTAATTAAGTACAGAAGGAAAACTTTAGCCAAGTGTGATGGTGCATGCCAGTAATCCCAGCACTTGGGAGGCTGATGCAGAATTGCCATGAAGTCTGAGACCAGCCTTGGTTACACAGTCAATTCAAGACCAGCCTGAAATAGAAAGTGAGAACCTGCCTCAACTTCCTCCTCCAAAACATTTTTCACTCCTGAATGACACTTTTGATTTATTAAAATGTATAGCTGTACAGTATTATAAAAATCTAACAACACTGAATACCTTTTAAGCAAAAAGGTTGATATCTTACATAAGATACATGAAACACATTCAAATTCCACCTTTCATAAGGCTGTGCTCTTAGAATGACAAATGGATCTCAGGAAACAGAGACAGTCTTCAATGGTTCCATATATATATAGAATATTGATTCATGATAGAACTGATGTAATGCTTCTCTGGAGGAAATCACAATCTTGTTTCATTTATGTTCAGGGAGAAACAGGTGTTTGGAAACGTGTATACTCTTCTATGTACAATAATTATGCTACATAATGAAATTAGAAAAATAAACTTGAATGCCTTCAGAATCTACTGTGAAATAACATTTAGATGAGAAAAGTATTTCCCCAGAAGAAAACCAACTGATCAGCAGAATTGGAAGGAAAAATTGAAATATATGAAAATCATGGGAAATAAACAAGATATGAAGAAAATACTTGTTGTGTACACAGTATACAAATAGTGTATAAATAGGAAAGATCAATGAACACAAATCTCAAAAAATGACAGCAACATATCTAACCCAAGAGAAAATACCAAATAGAAAACAATAACCACGTATTTTTTGAAAAAGGTCATTAAAGAAAAATGAAAATGTGTAAGAACACAATAAGCAAGTAGACTTATGCACAATAGAGAATAAACTGATATACTTTACACTCATTTCCTTTATTTTGGAATTTACCAAAATCTCCAGTCCAATGACTGTAACACATAGTACAGGGTGGGGGCAGCTCACACCACCAGGCTTGTGGAAAGGCACCATGGCATGGAATTTATTGTGTCTGGGTGCAGGCAGACAGAAGGTGAAAAGACTTTCTGCAGGGAACAAAGCAAAGTATGCCCCATTATCAGGATGGAAAGAAGGCAAGAGACATTAGGAGGGAAAATTTTAATAAATATCTGTGGTCAAAGTTTCCTGGTTGCCTTCCACCTCAGTGGGCAAAATCCTTGAAGCATCTGGTATAAACTTCTGGGAGTCTCCTGATGTCCCAGGACCTGCAAAATTTCTTGTCCTATCTTATGGACATCCTGTGCTTGCTGATGACAGCAGTGGTGGTGAGCTGAGTTCCCTGCTAATAATAGTGCCTCTGCTGGCAGGCAGGTTGGGGGCTGGGAGAGTCAAGTCCAGTTGGAGCCTTATATTGACTTCTTTCCACTGTCTAGAGAAAACATTGTGCTATTATTACGAGAGATAGATGTGACAGTTTTCAAGTAGACTTGAAAAATGCTGAACCACATGGTCAACAGAAGCATGACAAAGCACTTTGCCCATGATTCATATATCAGCACTTGTGAACAATAGTGAGATGGAAAAAGAACAGCATAAAAAAACCACATGAAAGTATATCTCTGAACAATTTCTAGAATAATCACTTATTGAACATTCCAACACAGGAAACTAAAAGAAAACTGTTCATAGATAATCACACATGGTACAATTAAGAAGAGTCAGTAAAGTGAGTGGTCATCCACGTGGCAAAAGAGGTTTGAATCAGGCAGGGTTTTATTAACCTGGATACTCTCATCCACTGTCCAAGGCCCAATGATGAAACTTCCTGAATATTCTGAGGATACAATATAACCCTGTAAAGTTGTGGTTTTGAATTGACTGCCTCATTCTTTGTAGATTTTTCCTTAGAACCTAACTAGTAGTTGTTCATAGAAGCCCCTGCAATTTCACGGAAACCACAAATATCCTCTGCAATTTATTTTGTGCAGGAGGTTTGCAAGTAGACAATCTGAGTGTTATTCATTTCTCCTTGCTGCTGATTTGCTGCTGCTCTGTAACCCATCTCGGGCAGATGCATCAGCATTCCTGCTTCATAACAGAAATCTACCACATGAGTCTGTCTTGAGCGCTCTTGCTCGGCCTAAGATGCCGCCCAAACACCCTGCACCTTCTAAGGCTTTATTAATACAGTATTTTATTAAATTATATAACTATGGGTGACAGTACATATTTAGGACTTAAAGTATAAAAGCAGACATTTATAAGCATTTTTCTGACCATTATCTGAAATTTGAACTTTTTCAGAAGTCACAGGTGCTCTAGGAATGTAACCCTCATGAATTTCTGGGGTACATTTTATTTACATTGTTGTTACTGTTAAATCTCACCTGTACTTTTTAAAATAAAATATACTGGAAAATATTTAAACATCAAATTACCATTAAGAAAGTACATATTAACTTATATCTACTTGTCTGTATTCACGTATGAAAAGATGAGACATTATTCACACAATGGGCACCAGTAAGCGAAGCAGCATGTTTCCAAACAGGAGATACACAGACTTCCAGCAAGCAGAAGTCAAACTCTATACTGCCCATCAGGAGAACTCGGTAGACTGTCAGAGAAAGAGAAAACAGATACTGGAGCTTATCAGTGTCTACACATCTCTGAGTTATGGTGTCAATTCTATGCCTACCTAGACAGGAGTGGTTGTTATGTTGGCAGTGATGAGGATATATTACTTAGAAAGGTATGCAAAAAGGAACAGTAGTCTACCATCGATTCAGCAAAATCTTCAGAAGTTGTATTAATTTTACATTATTCAATTTGTACCTTAAAGTCAACAGTGGTTGCAGTGACCAGATAATGATATAAAAGGCACTTCTCACCCTTTTCCCTGACCCTGCTACCATCCTGTGATCTTCAATAAATATACCTACTTATTACATAAAAAAGTCAGTTATCTAAAAAAGAACAGTCCTCAATACATATTCCACTAAATAGAGTATCAAGTTACATTCATGAGACAGAACATGAATGTGAAGAAAAAAATCTATGATTCACAACCATGTTAGTTGCTTTTCTCTCTTTGCTGAGACAAAATACCTGATGCCCAATATTAAAGAAGGAAAGGTTTACTGAGTTCACAGTTTGCAGAGCTTTCAGTCCATAATCAGCTGGCTCCAAGGCAGGGTGGCATATGGCAGAAGGGTAACAGTTAATGGTGGCTGAAAACAGCAAAAGCAATAAGAGCAAAACAAGGGAGGGCAAGCCTCTTTCCCTCCCTTACATTGTAGGTAGGTTTCTGGCCCTAGGGCGGGGATAGCACTGACACCACTAATCGCAGCACTAGACAATGAAGTAATCACAAACTCTAGATTCAGCCATCTCTGAAAAGCCTGCTCCCCATGACTGCATGAGGCACAAACCATAGCAACTATGCCTGAAGATTTCAAAACAACTCTATCAGTAATTGACAGATGAAGAAAGAAGAAAACTCTGTAATAAACAGTTAAAATTAATAGCATCATGCTTCACAGGTATTCATCAGATATTGCAAAACACTTTATCAAATAACTACATAGTACAGTCTTCTCAAAAGCAAAAGAAATATTCACCCAAATGGGACATGTTCAGTATAACAATAAAGAATTTTATTTCTAGGAGTAAAAAATGAAATGTGTTATGGACATGTACCAACTCATTATAATAAATATAGTCATTATATACTGTAAACATGTATGAATAAAAGTCAAAAAAGGAGAAATACAGGAAAAGACTTAATAACGTTAAGTCTTGGAAGTCAGCAGAATAAGGCCGTGTTAAGTAATGTGAATCATGCAAAGGAGGCCCTCACACCTGTTGAAATGAAATTCAAGACCAACAGCAGAAAGATATTAAAATATTCCTAAGAACTAGAGATTAAATCACAAATTTTAAGACAAATGCTTCAAATGAAAAGCTTGATTAAATATTAATGATTTCATAACGTATGAAAGGAATATACTGTACAACACATTATCATTTCAGAGACCCCGAAAGGGGTGTTTCAAAAGAATTTAAAAATAATCTATAAATTTAAAAAGAACAAAGATTGCAAAATCAGAAAAGTGGAGAAACAGCAACATAAAAATGAAATTCATTCCCCAGATAATAGATTTCACTGCTCATTATTCATGTAGACTATAGACAATAGAGAAGAAATGATTAAAAGTATCAAAGGCACTATTAAATAATTAATGTAATTTATTACAATAAAATCTCAAAAAGAAAAACTATAAAATAATATTAATGATACAGACAAAACACAAGAAAGAACAAAATAATAGGCAGTAATTAAGGTGGAAAATATAAAATTATCTTCCCTTGCACAGATCATGGTATATGTTGGAAAAATGAAAAGTACCCAAAAAATCCACAAAAGACCAAACTAATGGAAGTACTATGATAATATACCACAGAGTATATCTCTACTGTAATATACAAGAATATGCCATGTAATTATGTATCAGGTATAAATAAGTAGATTGAAAATTGTAGATCTTACAACATAATGTAGCTTTCACAGTGACAGTTATGTTAAAAGCCTATATATGAAAGTGGTTCAATACTAGCTGTAATAAACACAAGATAAAACCACAAAAATAAAATATATTAGATGGACAAATAAAAATAAATTATTTCACATGTTGGCAAAACAATAAAACCATGTATCTATAAAATATTAGATAAAAAATTCATACGAAACTTTGGTTAAAAAAATTTGAATTTTTTCATCTGCATGCCAGCACTTTTCTTATTCTATCAAAAATTTTAATTCATTATCACTAGAAGAAACAAATCAACAGCAACATTTTAAATGCATCAAAAATTTTTTTAGCCTGTAATTCCAGCACTCAGGAAGCTGAGGCACGAGAATCACTAGAAGTTCAATCAAGGCCAGCCTGGGCTACAAAGTGAGTTCAAGGCCAGCCTGAACTGCATAGTAAAACCTTGTCTCAGAAAGATAGAGGCAGTGGAATAAGGGAATGAAGTGCCTGAAATATGAATTTCCCTACAATCCTATGGGCAATAAGTTGAGGCAATGAAATCATGAATAATATTTTCAGCATTATAATAATAATATATTAATCTAAGTTATTAAATTATTCAAAACTCCAAAAGAATTGAAACCAAATAACACTTTGCTACATGAGATCCTTTTGTTCCAAAGATTTTTCCCAAAATGTATCCTGTAGCCACCTTGGATGTAGCTAAATGAAATCAGATACACTGGAAGTAACCATAAGTGGTTTGTTCACTTGCATCATGCTTATATGGATCTTTAAGCATATATATGGCAAATGCAAAAAAAATTATTTTAAAATCACGCATGATGATGCATGCCGGTGATCTATCACTAGGGAGGCTGAGGCAGGAGGATCTCTGTGAGTTCCAGGACAAGCCTGGGCTACTAGTGAGTGCAAGGCCAGCCTAAACTATATGAGATCCTGGTCTTAAAAAAACAAAACAAGATTTCTAAGGCTTTCTTTGCTTCATCAGATGTAGTCAATTCTTCACTACATTTTTAACTAGGATAATCATAATCTTATTGTTAAGCTATGAAAATAAATCCACAAATCCTTAAGATAACTTGTATTTTATACCAGCAACTTGCTGCACAAGAAGCAAAAGGGCAGGTTGGGGAAGAAGGCTGTTTCACTGTAGTTCACAAAACCCACACTCAGAAGGTTGCACACTCCTGAGGACATGCACAATACACTGTGCCCACACACTATGTCCAGTCTACTTTGCTTCTCCTTGCACAGAATACCACTTTATGCAGAATTATTGACATGCTTTCACCCCTACACTTGGTGCTTTCCCCTAGATGCAGTATTGCTTTTATTCACTGTCCTACCTCATTCAGCATGTCAGTTGTTTTGAGACAGGGTCTCACGTTGTAGTTCAGACTGGCCTTTAATTCACATTGTAGGCGAGGCTGAATTTGAACTCCCAACACTCCTCTTGCCTCAGCCCCCCAAGTGCTGGGATTATGGGCATGTGTCACACCTGCTAGTATGTCATCTTAAAAATAATGTCTATAAACTGTCCATGGACTATAGCAGTTATGTGAGAGATGGTGCTTCTCTACCTTTTCACATGCATAGGTATTCACAAAATACCTATGCATCCCCTACTTTCAGGAGATTCAAAGTTTGGGTTTAACAGTCAGTCCTTTCTGGAAACTGTCCTTTATAGCAGTACTTTCATCTTTCCTTCTTTACATTGATAACTTCCTGTCCATTTTTGGCATTCTAAACCTCAAGAAACTGTTTGTTTGCTTGTTTATTGCTATGGATATAACACAGTAGCTGAATCAGGCTTGGCCAGGTCCTGAGCTTCATCAAAGGCAATGCTAAACATTTCTTCCAATTTTTATGTTGCTTGTAAAAACTCTGTATATAGAAACTTTGGGATTGTGGAGAAGGGTTTGGGAAGTTTGGAATTTACTGTCATCAAAATCAAATCAGACTGTGTGAGGCCTAGTATCTAAACTTTTAACGAATTTAGCATTATTTGGTGATTTAGCCACTTTCTTGTTGCTGAGAGAACATACCAAATGCCCACAATTTAGAAAAGTTCACACTGGCTCAATTTCAGTCCATGGTCTGCTGGATCCAAGGTAGAACCAGGATGGCAAAGTGGCACAGTGAAGGGAAAGACACTCAAGCCATGCAGCCTGGAAGGAGGCAAAGATGGGGGTGGGGAGCTGCAAAGAAGAACACACTCTTCCAGGCCTTGTCTCGAGTGACCCATCTCCAACAGGTCTTCACATCCAAACAGCACCTCCAGATACTGACGTCACCAATGAATGAATTCACTGATGAGAACAGGGCCCACACAAACCAATCAACTTTCAAACTCATGAGACACTTAGGTGTCATTTTAGATATAAAGCATAACACCTGGTTTGCTGCTGTGAGAAAAAACAGGGAACCCAACACTGCACAGTCTCACCCACAGAAACCTCACACGTGCATCTGAGTCTCCCCTCGACCCTCGTACTCACTGAACGGCATGGTGAGGGCTGGGGCTGCGGGTACTGAGCTGGCAAAGGCAGGGCTCTGGCCACGGCGAAGTCACCTCACTGCTTAGGTTCTGGCAGATGTCTTGGTCCCCCCCAGAGGGCTATGAACGACCAAAAATGTGTACCAGTGACAGCTGACATATAGGAACAAAGATTAATCATCTGATCCAGGGAGGCCGAGAGCCTACCAAAGCTCATTCTGCCTACTTCCAACCAGATGTTGGGCATCCACAAGCCTCACTTCTATGTTGGGACATTTGGCCTTGCTTCGTTGGATGTGGAGGGCTGACGGTATCCCAGCACCTTTCCATGCAGCCACAGTCAGTAAAATTCATAAAGCAAGTCATGCTAACCCTGGTTGGAAGTCTCTGAGCAACACACAGGGAGCTTCTGACCTGAGTGCCTGACAGAGGATTGTGCCTGACTGGACAGTTCATACAACAGAAACTCTTCATGATATAAGGCTCTACTTTCTGCCCAGTGAGCCAAAAGGGAAAGGAAAAGCAATACCATAGCTGCCTGAGTGGAGCCCAAATGACAGACTGTAGACAAAACCCTTCCCAGACCAGACTTCCTCTCGGGACAATCACTTGACCAGCCTATTGGATCATTGCACTGATATAGGATTTGCTTCTAGCTTTGCAGACCTGTGTCTTCCAACTGTATTCATGGGCTCTTTCTTTTTTGTTGTCTCTGAATATAGGATCACAACTACGGTGCCACTGAACTTCCAGAGTCAATGTCACATGGAGAAATCCATTAAACCTAAAGAATCTGGGTCCAGGCAAGGGCGGAACACGATGGAATAGAAGAAAAAACCTAAGGTTGTCAGGGGGAAAAAATTAAATAAGCCATTTACCTTCATGGCACAGACTTTGTTGAACCTTATCTACACATTTTCGGTAAAGAAAATAAAGCTGTGCCAAAAAGGGAACATAACTATGCAATAAATGAAGAAGCTGGTATAATGTGATGAAAGTATTATGTAAAGGAATCAAGATGAAAGAAAAGGAAGTATTTCAAATGCCTCAGACAAGAAACTATTCCAAGTTCACAAAGAAATCCAGAATTCTGAAGACTAATCTTGGCAGGTGGGCCATAATAACAGTTTCAACATAGTCCCAGCCTTCAGTCATTTCTCTATGAGGCAGGAACAGCGAAGAGATTAACAGGTAAATTCTTTATAATGTGCTGTTCCCTTCACACAGATTGAAACTTCTTCTCTTTCAACATAATGATTTCCCCACAGTAAAGTTCTCACCTGGAGTCATGTGATGGGTAGACTTGTCAAATGTATCAGCTTGAGAGAAGCCTAGGATATTAGCAAAGCACATGTCTGGGGTTGTGTGAATAAGGCAAGGGGTTTGACCTTAGCAAATGCAAGAGGGTATGACCTTAGCAACTGTCTCTGATCCCTGGCCCTTTCATCTGAGGTTCTTTCTCTACTCAAGAATTTCCACTGGAAGTTTGAAGAGTTGGTGCTGGAAGCTTTAAGGAACTGGAGATCAACATCCAAAGCAACAGCAGATACCAGAACTCCTCCACAGAAAAAAGAAGAATCTTCCTTTCTTCCCTTTTAGGCCATCTTGGGTGCCAACCCTATGCAGGGTTGATTTTCTCTGCTTAATTTGTGTTCTACAAGCCAATGATCCAGTCAAAAGCTTCACTAACTTACTGGTGTTTCCTAGTCAGCAAGAGGACCTGCTTTCCAACACTCTGAAATTTGCATGCGTCCTTAAGGCTGAACATGGATTTAAAATATGAGAATAATTTTTCCTTACAAAAAAGCAAAGACACCAAAATTAATGTTTTTTTTGTTTGTTTGTTTTTCTTCCAGTACCGGGAATCGAACTCATGACCTTGCGCTTGCCAGGCAGGCGCTTGCCAGGCAGGCGCTGTGCCGCTGAGCTAAATCCCCAGCCCCCAAATCAATGTTTAAATGAGAAGCTTTATAGAAAAATATGAATTGTCCACCTTTTTCCTGAGCATTGGTAATGCCCTCATCATTCTAGTTGAATATAGTCCCAACCGGCTCTGTGCCTGACTAATATGTTGTTCATGTTTAAAAGGTATTTCTTTAATCCCACATCTCAATCGACCCATATAATCATTTCTATAAGTCCTAAGCATCTTAGAAGTTCCTCTGTCAAAAAGTGTAAAGGCCATACGTTTGAATCTTCTTGAAGCTGAAATACATTATTCAATTTAAATTACTCATTTAAAGCAGTGTTAAAGGACATACGATGATATTTTAAGACTACATTAGGAACACAGATTTTGTGGCTATTATCAGTGACCTGTCACAGCACATGAACAATGAGAACATGCACCAAATACTGTACTGGGCCACAGTCTTTGGGTTATGACCCAAGAGCTTCTAAAATTCTAAAGAAGAAACCAAAGAGCAGAAGTTGGGGAGGAAGCCTGAGGAGAACGGACAGATGGATGAAAAAGGAGGAAGAAGTATGGAGGCCATAGTGTTGCTATATATAAACCACACCTCAAGTTAAGAGTTCTACGGATAAGGCCTTTTTATGTTGTTCATGATCCTTGTTCCTGAGGCAAAAAAGAGGGTATTGACTATAGTATGCGGCATTTTTCAAGGAGCTTTTGTTATTTCTAAAATTGAGATATATGTAAATAACAAAGGAAGAGGCAGAGTGCTTTTACAGTTACAGTAAGAAATTTCACTTAAGAAGGATACGTACTGTCTCTCAGCAGAGTGGATCCTTAAGATATCGGTCACAATAGACAAAGAACATAGTGAAACTAAATAGCCAGTGAGATCTGATACATAATGAGCAGAATTTAACAATTTAACATTATTTGCAAAATGTGGCAGAGACAACTTTGTATTACATTTAGACTCACACAAGGCAAGGTACAAAACTACTATCCTACTAATATGTTGTAACTGAACAAATCTGAGTTACTTTCATAGCACCGAGACAGAACACCCAACACGCACAATTTAAAGGAGGGAAAAGTTTACTTTTGTTCAGTCTGTAGAGGTTTCAGTCTATAGTTGGCTGGCTCCAAGGCAGGGTGGCTCTGCAGAAGGGCCTGGCACACAGGAAACTTGAAAAGTAGCAAGCCATCAAGGGAGAAGGAGTGATACATATATTCACCGTTCTAGGCCACACTTACAGTGACCTACCTCTTCCCAACAGGCTTTAACTCCAAATGTCATACCCTGTTATAACCCATCAGTGGACTAATCCACTACCACACCCATGACTCAGTCACCTTCAGAAGTCCCACCTATGAGTGCATGATGCTGTGAGGGAACATTCAGACTGCAACCATAACCTCCAGTTAAGTACAAAAGAAAGTGGGGAGAGGGCTATATTGTAGAAAACTCCCTTAGTATATAAAATATATACTCACTCCTGCATATGCACATACATATATGCTTATATTCACATATGTTTCATTCTTCTCTCATGTTATCACACTGAAATGTGCATATATCCCTTTACTAATTGCTAACTCAGCCTTGTATGTAGGCTCAACTATAAATTTCAGAGATGACACCTTGACAGAACAAAGCAGGCCAAAAGGAGCTTTCCCAAGAATATGCACAAAGGCAGTAGAGAGGGTCAGTGACCAAACCGGGGATCTTAGAGCCCAAAATAGCCAATGAATTATGACAACTCTCAGGGAAGAGGGTCCCTGTTTGCCATATAATAAAAGGGGCTAAGAAGAAAGACCTGCAAGTGCAAGCCCCAGGCTCCCTATCTTACTCCATCAAGGTAGCTGTCTAGCTCCTCCTATTTTTCTCTTCTAATACATTGATTTTATTTCTCCTTCTTAATTTATATCACTAATTCTTTATTTATGTAAGTTTACAAATCATAGAGTAATATAATTTGCTCTCACAAGATACAATGTTAGTGGAGAGAAAAAGCTACAAAGAATGGCTTTCACCCCAGATAGCTCACTTGAGATGTTAGTAAGAATTGCCTCCTCAGTATTCTATAGCTATGATGAGGAGGAGGCCAAGGAGAGAAAACAAAGAGACCGAGAAAAAGCAGCTGCTTTTGCTGCACCACTAAGAGAAACAGATCCCAGGTCTGATTCCCGGGGCTCCAAGAAGA